CTTTTTTGTAATATATACAATGGTTGAAGTGAGCTTTTGTATGTATTTCCCCAGTTTTCAACGCCATACTCTAAGTATGGTAAAATCAATGAAGAATACAAAATACGTAGTGCTTTCCCGTCCAAAATATGTCTGACCCTCGCCAATATCAATATGTTTTGGAAACGAGATTATTCATACTATTAATCCTTTTTCTTTTCTTTTTTTAAACAAGAAACGAGAACTATTAATAAGAGCACGAGTTTCTGTTGCAAAACAGCATGTCATTCATGGGGGAGCCATTCTCACTCGGGGTTCCTCTCTGCCATCAAAAGACTCCTCCAGCTGACATGTCACCTCCAGTCCTGTGTTTATGCAAATGACACAGCTGTGTGATTCTGACATCTCCGCTGCGATACAGAAATCACACAGACACAAGGAAGCACTAGTGAGAAGATGAAAACACCTGTATGAAACAACTGAAGCTACAATAAAAAAGATAAATAAAAATTAACAAAGCTATAAAATAGTCACACTACATTTAGTCAAAGTCCAAACCATGACAAAGTCAGGTTGTTTCGCTCACTCACTCACGTTTTCTAAATCATTCCTGTACATCTAGCTGTTTTGAGCAGACAACTGTGGGGTCCTGCGATGGACTGGCGACCTGTCCAGGGTGTACCCCGCCTTCGCCCGATTGCCGGCTGGGATTGGCTTATTATTTGCTTTAATATTGAAGCTAATTCTGTTATCATATTCTCTTTCTCATAATTACCATATAAATCTGTCAGTTATTTTTAAGTTAATTGTTTTAGAAAGTTACATGTCAGGTAACAGTGTGTGATGCCCATTGCAAGTTTCTCTGAAGAAGGACATAAAGATTGAGTAGCACTTTGACAAAAACTGCTTCAGTTTACACAAAAAATGACTGTTCGCGACATAAAACACTAAAAAGTAATATCTATTAATTATAAAAATGAAGTGTAAAATTTAATTGATTTTTACAACATCTGAAACCACTCTGATCATATTCTCTTCCTCAATGCTCCACAAGAAAGCAAAGAACGATCATCAATGTTAGAGAACATGAAGTGAATCACGTTTCTCTAACCGCTTCACGCTCAGAAGAGAATATCACAACTCATCATCGTGGTTGGCGAGACTAAACACTTTAGAAACACATTTCTCAGTAAGAAACTATAGAAATGATCCCTGAAAGTATAGTCTTAACGGTGTTGAAGGCGGCAATAGCAGGCTATTCTTAGGGTGATCTTTTTCACTTAGGGTTTTACGTTGCTCTCACGCATGACAGAAACGATCGATTAATGAGCAGTAAAAAAAAAATGTAACCATTACAAAATCGTGTCAATACATGTGTCCAAACAGCTAATAAAGTAGTAGAATAATGAATATATTCAATTTTCACTAGACCCATAATGCTTTGCGAATCGCATCACAGAGTATTCGATAAAGTTGTGGATTTTTTTTAAGTATAGTCGCAACTAAAACCATTAAAACTGATCGGACTCTGGACAATTAACAATAAAACAGTACGGACGATGCTTAAAGTATTAAAAGTATTTAAAAGTGGGCCTACGAAACCTATGTACGAAATAATCTGGAAGGCGCGTCGTTTGTAATGTTCCGGATAGAACGTTGGCAAATAAGTATAGTTCCGTTTGAAACCACACGTTTTGAGGACTTTAGGGCGTATGGTAGTGGAGTTTAAACGACAACTAAACCTACACGTTTTCTTGACAACAGACATGCAAACTGATCTAAGATAGCTAATATCACGTCGAAAGTGTATAAACCCCCTTTGCTGTAACATGAAAAATAAACAATCACTATCACTAAATTAATTATAATTAATTATATGACAACTGATAACACTAAAATTACATAGTTAAGCTTGGGTAACTTTATTTTAAAAAGGGGATTATTTCCTACTATGTTAGCCAGGTGATTATCTCCTACCATATTAACCTTGAGAGATAGCCCAACTATAGTTTTCTCGCCTCTGTAACTTAGTTCAATAATATACAGATAAGCAAATGTAAAATAAACAATAACAAAACAAAGTAAGCACGTAAATAAATGATAAATACATTTGCTGACCACCTTTTGGCACTTTCCCTGCTGCAAAAGCCCCAGAAATCTTGTGCATTAGCTATAAAGTAACCTGCTCTTTAAACCGCAACACAACCAACTTACCAGTCATAGGCCTCTCTAACCCACAGGAGAACTCATTTTAATACAAAATAAATAAAAAAAATTATAAAAATAAGTGTGACACATTAGTCATACTCAGAACTGGTTGCAAAGTTTCATTGCGCATGCTCAGTAGGTACGGACTTAGCATGTTTTGCGAAAATAGTTTATTCGTGCATAAAGTTCATTCACCAGGTCTACTGAAGTGACGTATAGGCTACATTCATTTTTGCAAACATAATCATAATAATTTTGATAGTGGCAAACAACATGGCAAGAACCCACCATTCCTTACACATCTTCATTCCAGTAAATTATATTCGATATTCCACACCGATGGATCTAAAATTATGTTTAGTGAGTTGGGTGATTGGGTGATTGTAATAACATATAGTAATATAATGTTGCAGTTCTATTGCTAGTTAAAGCTACACCAGTGCTGAAATAATTGTTGGAGAAGTCTGGTTTATTGCATGACATTTTTCTGACAAGAAAGGGATTGGACAGAAGGCACCAACATTGAAATCTATGTTATATATGCAACTCTCAAAAACTACATAGGTCAATACATTATGGAAGCAGTCATGTGAAATAATGAAAAATTGTCTTTGCCTTTCATGTTCTATATTGTTACATCCTGGTCAAAGACATCTCAAGCGCATGTTTAGCATAATATAATATAGCATTCCTAACTGTAGCACTAGTGTTTATATACTGTAGCCTAAGATATAAAAAAGACAGATGACTAAAATGACATTAAGACAAAATATGTTATTACCATAATATCTTCCTTTAATTCTGCAATTGTACTGTTCTGGAGTACATTAATATATTAAACTATATTACTGTTATTATTGTTATAAATTTTATACATTTTGGTATTTAATTATTGTTGTGCTCCTTCAGTTGTTACAGTTTGTAGTGCATCAGTTTCATTATTATTCCTTAAAAAACAACACATTTTATAGTTTGATCACATGATCTCTGTCCACTTCAGGCTCTGAAGGGAATAAAAGAGACATGAGTCATTAAGTAAAGATATCATTCAAATGGTAATTCAGTAATGCTAAAACTTCCATCCATCAGTTATCTATACCGCTTATTCCTGAATAGGGTTGTGGGGGGTGCTAGAGCCAATCCCAGCTGACACTGGGTGAGCTAAAACTTGCATAGTCACATTATTATAATATTGGTATTAAATAAAAAATAATGAAAACCATGTTAGGCTGGTCAGTTCTATTTTGTCATCATATGCTGTAAATCATATTTTGATTGTTTGACATCAGATCAAGATTACTGAGAAAAGAGGAACCATAAAAGCATGACACTGCCCATTATCACCATAGAAAGTATCACTCAGCTGTGTATGATCATGCTTGTAGAGTTTGGATGTCCACTGGAGATCTGTCCTCTAAAACACAATGCTGTTAACTAAGGTCTCTGACTTTAAAACTCAGAGCTCAGTCCAATTTATTCTGTCATCAGGCTGGTTTTTAATCCTCCTCCATATTTTTTCTGCTCTCTATCTGTGTTCTCCCCTAAGGTTTCTCCTTGTACCTCCTCCAGAGCTGGTGCACTTGTCTTCTGGCCTCAGAGTGAACACAGCTGGAGAAGGAGGTGTGCTGTTGGCCCTTCACCTAGTGAACACAGAGCAAAGGGAGGCACAGTCATACTAGGAGCCACAAGTAAGTACATCATACCTATGATTTATGGTATAGCTACAGTGATAACAAAATGTTCCTGACACAAGGAAATAAAATTCAGGGGTGTATTTCCTTTATCTCACAATGTTTCTAGATAAAAGTGTTGAAGTGAAAAAGAAAGTTTTCATGAGTTCAAAATGCTCACTTCACTGCCCACCGTTGCCGCTCTGTGCACCTAATGGTACACTATGTAGTGATCATGAAATTGTGTCAGTTATGAGCAAATATGAATTATGGTGATTGTAAGAGCTGTTTAACAAATGTTGATGTTTTGGCATGTGCTTCTTAAAGAGATATATATTATGGGAGAGTGACTGAGCTTACTTTTGTCAGGCACCTTGTTCTACTCTATTAATGTGACTACCACCTGACCTAACTTAAATTGACCCATGCTATTAATGCACTGAAGTGGGACTATGAGGTAAGTCAAGACACTGTACGATTAAAAAAAGGACAAGGGAGTGGGAGCTGATAGAAAAGTTTGAAGTCATATTGCCCTTATATTTATAAATTTGCAGAGGAAACTGCAGTGTTGTCATGAGGTTGTAGATTAGAGGCCTTGTTGTACCCTCCTTATACAAGTTCAAGTCCATAGCTTGTAAGTGTGGATGTTTAAAAATCATTTAAGCCAGTCACGGTGCTTTTGATAAAAGTTATATTCCAGGTCAAATGGCTAAAACTCTGTCAGCTGTTGCCATTATTACTTCCATATAATCAAACTGCAGACATAAAATACAAGAATAAAATAAAACAGAATGGACTTCCTGAACATAATATAACTTTTTCTGTTAATGTTGTTTGGTGGTGATACTTATCTGCTTGCCAGCTCCTTCTTCAGACAGGATCTAAAAGAGGTGGCACGCTCCACAGCTTTATAGCCCTGACAGGTTGGTAGATAGACATGACAGAACAAAAGGAGCAAAGTAGAAAGACAGGAAAATAAAAGGATAGGTAGGAGAGAGCCGGGGGGAAATGGAATGGAATGGGGAAGAAGGTGTAGGTGTTGGGATGATTCCAGCACAGATGAGTGTGGCAAAACGAAAAGGAGAGGAGATTGGGGATGCAGACACAGCAAAAAGAGAAAGGGAGAGAAAGACAGAGATGGGAAAAGAGAACACTGTTAATAAGCCAAGACTGTGAGGTCAAGACAACAACCAAAGAAGCCCACACAAGGACAAGTAGGTTTACTGCTTTGCAATGTTAGTGGTATTTGCAGTATATCAGGAAAAATCTAAGGTTGGGGAATACCTGATATCTCATATATTTATCTCACTTCCATATAAAATAAGTCTCTGACCTGTAGTATTGTATCAAAATATGCCATTAGAGGGCAGTATCCCTCCTTGAGAACACCACTGTGAAGTTGCTTGAGGTGATTTCCAATTCAGTTTGAGTTGTTCACTGAAGTTGCTGAAAGTCTATTCCCAAAGGCTGTCACACCCCTGAAAAGCTTTCCATAACCTTTTCAGTATTGTTTCATTTAGGATGTTTTATTTCCTGTAGGGATTTTTCAGCCCTAAAGTTATTCAGTGCTTGTAATTTAAATTAATGGATTGTTTTAAATTCAATTCAAACTTTATTTATATAGCACTATTAAATCAACAAAGTTGGCCAAAGTGCTTTACAATACAACACATCACCAACAAGCATAAAAACAGCAGTGGTAATCAGATAATTAACATGCAAACCGTACAAACAACACAACCACGGGCATTAGTTAAAAACAGCTAATTAACATATAGACTATACAATCTGTATAAACAATTAGCAACAAAATTTAAGCACAAAAACACCAGCATTAGTTTAAAGCAAGAGAATATAAATAGGTATTAAACACACTTTTAAAAACAGAAATAGATCATGCCAAGTAAGTATGAAGAGGAAGGTTGTTCCAAAGAGTGGGGTTGATAAAAGTAAATGCACACTCCACCCTGGACCTAAGACAAACTTTTCGGTAGCATCCTATCTTTAGGCCTTAAAGATCAGTGTGGAGCATACGGGTATACAAGGGCACAGCTATAAGAGGGAGCAACACCAGGTCAAGAAAAGTATTTTAAACTGAACCCAAAAGCGTACCGGAAGCCAGTGAAGAGCAGACAGGGTAGGTGTAATATGCCAATGCCTGCTGGCACTGGTAAGCAAACAGGCAGCAGCATTCTGGATTGACTGCAAAAGGTCCAGAGAGGACTGATTTATACCCACATACACGAAATTACAATAATCAGTAAGATGAAAAATAAAAAGCTTTTCAAAATCCTGTGCACCCACAAATTGTTTAACCAGGATTTTGGTTTTTGCCTCATCGAAATGTAATACATTTAAAGACATCCAGTTTTTTATATTCGACAAGCATTTAGAGATTTGTGTTAATGGATCACAAATAGTAGATTTTAGTGGAAAATATAACGGAAGAACATCTGCACAGCAATGAAAAGAGATGTCATGCTTTGTGATGACAGCGCCCAAGGGAAAAATATACAGTGAGTATAAGATCGGCCCCAAAATGGATCCCTGGGGAACCCCATAAGAAAGAAACACAGTGGAAGACATTGTGGTTCCCATGCCAACAGAGTAAAATCTGTCAGACAAATAAAATTTAAACCAAGCCAATGCTGCACCTTTGATACCAACACAGTACTCAAGTCAGCGTAGTCTTTTACAAATGCCCATGTACATGTTGTGTATATTTTCACCCTACCTCCTTTTTTATGTGCTGTTTCCATTTTGGTCACATTATTCATTGCCTGTAATTATTTGGGCTCTTTTGCAGAGGCACAAGAGCCAATTATAGCCTTTGCTGTTTGAAACCCCCCTTTACAATAAATGGAAACAAGTCTTAAAACAGCAGGCTGGTCTAGTTGTTATAAGGCTATTAATCAATTAGATCACCTGGGTTCAAACCAACAAAGGCCCTTTTACAAAAACAACTTGTGAGATTATTGCATTAATACTGGTGGTTTGGCCTATTCAGATTATTTGTTATTGCCCACATAATGTCTTAATATCAAAATGTATGTCAACTTGTGAAACAACAACATCCAGCCCAGGTGGAGTGAGGCTGGATGTTGTTTTTAAGCTAAAGACTCAGTCATTGTTTTAAAAGATGTGTAGATGAGTAGCTCCAGTGTTCCTCACCCTGGCTCCTCTGTGCAGCCGATCCTTCATGATACCGATGAACTCTTTGTATGAGAGCTTGTCATCGTGGTCTACATCAAAGATCTTGAAGATGGTGTTTACAAGGTGACGCGTCAGCTTCAGTCCTGTGGCTACATACACCGCTCTTGCAAACTCATCTGGTAGGAGAGAAAGTAAAATATCTTTGAGGGTCTTGGCTACTTGCTGCACAGCAGCCTAGAAGAAAAAAACACTGCATCTACACCATCAGTCCCTGTTCCCACTGTTCTCTTCTTACCTTGTCCAATCGAGCGAGCAGCAAAATTATACATTTGCATGGCAATAGCAAAGTCTTCAAGGTTGTTGAGAAACTGAAAGAAGGATCTGAACTCATCAAAGGTGATTCCCTGAAACACAATAAAAACACATGTGAAGCAATAAAACTCTAACCAGCCAAGCCCAGAAAATGACTAAAGAGAGAAGTACTGATGAAAATGTTATTTTCAAGAGAAAACAAAAACGACGGTGATGGGTATTTCAGCACAAACTTCCATCCAAAGGCAGCTTGAGATGTGCATACAACAGTCCTTCTGCTCTAAGATCTGAAATATTAACTAGCCAAAATTTTATAAAGCACCTCATAACCAAGACATTGCATGAAATAGACCTATTAATGACTTAGGTTATTAATGACAGGATTACATGTGCATGATAAGGTTAAATTTAAACTTCATAACCATAATGTAGCTGCATACAGTAATAATAACGCTGAAGCCATTCAACACATAGCTAGCTGTTCAAATGTCATGTGGGTGTATATTATAAATGTAATAATTTCCTCTGTATAACAATATTGTGCTTTCAATAAAAGGAATGATAAGTCCATGTGAGGAAACCTCAAGTTTGAAATGACTGTGCAAAACCATCACATGCTTTTTGCTGTGAATCAAGGTCAGAGTTGTAGACATTCCTTTTATGGAGTACCAGAGAAGATGGTGACCTAACTAAATAGCAGGAGAGACTGACAGATTGTAACTGGTTATGTGTTATACGAGTCACAAACCAACCTCCTGCTTCTTCCACAGTATGAAAGGGAAAAAAGGGAGGTACAGAAATAGAGTTGGGTTACATAAGGACCACAAGTCAATGTGCTGCTAACTAGCCAGCTAGCTAGCTAGATAAATAGGTATCTGGAAGTTTGTGTGAGTGTGCATGTGTGGTCAAGTGAAGCAGTGAAGCACTGAAGCGTGGAAAGCCACAACAGCCTCAGGCAAAGATAGTGGTGGGAAATTATGAATACTCTACAGCAGGAAGAAATTACCCAGATGATGAAAGGGAAGTTAACCTCTTCTAGTCCTTTATCCTAGGTTGCTCTTATCTAAAGAAAAATCAATTATCTATCTATCTATATGTGTAAAGCATTTTCTAATTTCACAGTTTACTAGCTGTCCATGTTTACTTGTAACCTTATCACATGTCCATGTGCTCCTCTCTCAGTAATGAACTGTGTGTATGTGTATTGTACCTTCTCGTCCGGTATACACTGGCGGACATTCTCTAGGTAGGAGCTTATATTCTCCACATTGGTGAAGCGTAGCAGGATTTTGGCAAAGTCTTCTTCACTGATGGTGGTCATTCCTTTAGAGTAGGTCAAAAACTCAATTTCCAACACCTCAGTCTGCAGGTTATCCATAAACCTAAAGAACAGAAAGGAAAGGGGAGGAGGACAAGGTGACTGTAATCCCTAATTTAGCATAAGAAGCATGGTACTATTTGATCACATGGGTAAGACTATTAACAGCAACAATTTTATTCTGTCCACTGAATATTTGTAGTACCTGTAGAAGTCATCGAAGGTAAGCTCTGCTTTTCCTTTCTTCCCAAAGAAATGGACCAGAAGGGTGGTGTCAATCGTAATACTCTCATCTGCTCGCTATGAATCATCAGAGAGGGAGGAAGAAAAGATGGAGTCAGTCAGTAATAAATCAATAAACATCAAGCATTGAGGGTGGAGGAGAAGTGATGGGTAGGACGAGTCCATCCTCAATCCAACACAGCGACAGTAATGCCAGGCTAGCAGGAAGCAGGTTTCTGCTGCAGAACATGCATGGCAACAACTAACCGTCAATCACCAACCAGCTCACATGGTCAGCAGCCATCATGGCATCAACATACCAGTCTAGGCAACAATAGCCTTCAAGTTCAAACTCTTCAACTGGATAAGTATCTGTTTGATAAATAAAACAGTACATCGCCCAATTAAACATTTTGCTGTCAAAGCTTTCAGAAAGATATGAGCAGAAAAAATGAGCAGGTAAAATGGGATAAAGAGATAAAACAGACAGAAAGGTTTCTGCTCATCCTTATTGTTACTTTTGGAATGAAAAGTATGGAAATAATATAAGAAGTATGGAGTTGGGTTTTCTCCATGCAGCCTAGACTGGAGAGGAGTACTGCTGTAGCAGCATGAAACGCAGACCAAAAGAGAGTGGTGAAGACACGAGGAGTGTTCAGGTAGCAGCACACATAAACACATAGAGATATAATGATAAACAGAGGCATGTCTATGTTCATTGAGCCAGAGGTGGAAGGATGTGGATGGGGTCAGCAAGAATGTAGAAATGAGCTCGAAGTGTTAAACGGAAAGTATATTAAACAGGGAGCAACAAAAGTGGTGAGAGACAAAGAAGCTGTAGATAAAAAATTAAGGTGACAGAGACATTTTAAAGGCACGGCATCTCATGCATATCTCTGTAAATGCCCCACTGACACACCTAAAGAGAACAAATGCAGAGAATGTGATTCCACCTTTTTCTGTAAACAGATGACAGTCAGAGGTGTCATTTAGCAACCTTTGTGCTGTTTATTAGTATTTTCTATACTCTGTGTTTATATATGCTCCTATTTTCCTTCCAGGCTTTGCAATTGTGAGCTCACTCAATTATCCTGGTCATCTGAAACCCACTGAACAGGCTTTGTCCTGTTTATACTATTTGCTCATCTTATAATCTGTCGATTAACACTTTCTTAACCCCTTACAAAAACAGGGTGACATGGGTACATTTTATGAGCCTCTGTGACCATTTGCATGTGTTTGTATTCACGTCTATCTCAGAAAAAGGTGCCTGTGCTTTCGAGGAGTTCCAGAAAAAAAAGTCAGCCAGCATCATGGCAGAAAGACAGGTCTAAAAAGCAGATTTATTTTATCTCTCTCCCCGTCATTCCCCACCCAGCCAACACTCAGTTCCCCACCCCCACCCCCAGTCCAGTCCATGGCCATGCTGAGAAAAATGCAGACATCAGATTGAAAGAAATCTCATGTCCCTCTAGGGAGGAAGAGCATTTATGCCATTTCCATCATCATCATCATAATTATCATCATCACCATGATGCCATTCGTGGTTCTACCTCAAGCGTAAAATCCTATAATCCAATGTGGGATGAGAAGAACATGTTAAACAAGATGACAGATTTATGAAAGGTGTTTGTTCAAGTCAAGGTGATTTCAAAATATTGTTTTTATTTGGTCTAATACTGTGTCATTTCTGTCAGAAATGTGAAAATTAATATGACCAACATGCAAAAATTAATAATGTAGAAAAACCGTAAGATACTGGAAAAGAAATGAGAAGAAATCTTCACGAGTATGAGAACCACTGGGATAGATGATTAGTAAAATGAAAAGACCACTGGTCTGTTATGTAAGCATTCAAAACAGAAACAGTTAGCCAGAACTAGATAAAGGCATTGACCAAATTCCAAACAAAATGCCCTCTGGTAAATCTGGTTGTAATGTAATGGATGTAAATTGGTAACGCACAGGCAAATAATGTCTTCTTGGAAACAAAAATTCAAAGTAAACCCTGCTGCAGGACCACCAACATCAAGGTGACTCCCAAACTTCTATCTGTTTTTAATTGGGAGTCTGGTCTTTCATCTCTGATTAGGGACAAAGGAAGATTTCCTTCATGTAAACACCGACAAACTGAAACAATTACAGACTTTTCAGTTCAGTGTCTTGTTTTAGTGTCTCACTTATTTGAGGGTCTTTTCATTAAGCCTCTGATTAAGGACAAACAGGACAAAAATACTTGCTGCCCTTTTATCTTATAAATTACTCATGGCTTATGTCTTTATGACACATGAGCTGTACATCTAGACAGCAGCCAGATGGTGTGTCTCTGCCTCTGCTAACTCCTATATAGATTTCCCTATTTCCCTTTTTCTTAATCACAAACTGTTTGTTTTGCTAATAAATCAAGAAAATTATTTTGTTTATCTTTGGCAAAATGTATACAAGCAATTAAGGGATTCATGATGAATGTAATCGTTGTCTAATCACTGGTTCAGACTTATAGGTTCCAGAAAGGTTTGTTTTTTGACTAACCTGATAATTCCAGTTTTAATACAAAGTGTTTTACTACAAAGTCGGTAAATGTGGTTAAAAAAATAGTGAGTTAGTGGAGCTGATGCTCAGTGAATGACACTCTGGTAGGGGTGATTTTAACTAGAGGGAGAGGTTATTGAGCTTTGGATGCCATGCACCATCAGGAAATGTATGAAAAAAATGACATATTTTCACCTTATAAAGTTCTTATGTTAAATATGTCATGTTATGTAAATGCTGAGTTATGTTTCTGGCTTGCTGTTTGGTGGTACATGTAAATCCAATATTTTGTCTTCTTTTAACTCTATTATGTTTTCACCAACTCGTGAGGTAAAGATCTGGCTCTGCTGTTATTATATCTGACAGCTGCTGCCTACAGCTGCTGTAAACATGGTTGATGAGACCAAAACTGTGAAGTTATGGCCTATAAAACCAAAACAAAGAGCTGAAAGACACTTAAGTGCCTCAGGCAGAGCTGAGGTAAACTTTAGAGTATTAATTCTGTGTGGGTTCATCATCATGAGTGACCCCTTTCACATTACACATTTAAGGCATTGTTAATATAAGTACTGGTAAGTGCAGCTTTAAGTAACGTTTAATGATTTTAATGTAACTAGTTACCTACCTACCTGAAATGTGTTTGACATAAGATGTTTGTTCTTGAAAACATAACTATCTACTTTTAACACAATAGAGCTTTCTAAACAATTTGTTAGTGAAGCCCCCCCCCTTTAGATTCAATAAGAATTGGCCGCTCAAGATCCTATATCAGTGTGCAGTGGTGCAGAAGTACCACTATCAGTGTGACCTCGAGGGAATGTAATACCAAACTGATCGTAATAAGCTTATCATTCCTGGAAGAGTGGCATCACTGGTGTAGCTCATCATCACCAAGAAGATGCAATGATTACCACACCCAAAAGTCACAAGCCAACACCTGGTGTATGCATGTGTCTCTTTATCCATCTACACGTGTGCACGATTGTGTGTATATGTGAGTTTCACCAGACTTTGATCATGAAGCTGAAGGTAAAAACAGTAATCATGGATGTAAACACTAAATGAGCTTTTTTACCCTCCCTGTCTGTGAGTAATAGCTCAGAGGAAGAGCTCACTGTTGGTCTTTAGTCATGTCAGTCACACCTCCCAGGGTAAAAGCAGCTAACCCTTGTTTCCCTCCCCATGACTTGTTCTTCCTTCTCCCCACACATCCCTCCTATCTTTATCTCCCATCTTTTCTCTTTTTTTTTATTCAGTCTCTTATCACATCTTTCACCTTTTACCTGGCCCCTGCTCTGATTACTCTGATATCCTTTCTCCTCACACTACAAGTCATACCTTCTTCACCTGGCAAACACAGAGGTGGCTCGCTCTTTCCTTCCCTCCCTCCTTCTCTGACTGTCAGTCAGTCCCCTCCTTCTCCAGACAAAAATAAAGTGGTACAATGGTGACTAATCTGTTGAGTAAACACATCTTTCTCTAAATACAAGCTGCTTCTTTCTTTTCCCCTAAATGTGCTTCCTGAACCTCTTTTCTTCCCGGCCACTTTGTTCCTCAACATTTGTTCTCTCTGCTGACCTGTGTCATCTTCTTTTGGCCTCTCTCACCTGTTTGTTGTCTGATTTTATCTCTTCCCTTTTTTGTCCACCCTCAGGTTTTCTGTTTATCAGATTAGGTATTTTAATACATTTGTTATAATGTTTTTTCTTTAATCCATCTGTTCAATCTACATATTTTTGTGTAACTTACTTAATTTTATATATTTTAATCCTTCATACTTTTAATGTCCCTGTTTTCATTTTTTTTATTTTCCTCCCCTTCTGTCTGATTCGTCTGCTCTGTCCGTCTGACATTCCGGCAGATGAAAGACTGCACAGCGTAAATACACGGTCAGCACGATTACAATCCACTGTCATTACCTCCACCTCAGTTTCCGCTGCCACCACAGCACACGGTCTGTCATTAGTCAGCTAGCCTTCTAGCACTGTGTTAGCTGGCATTTGTCATTACCAGCACCTTCACCTTTTGTCAAATATATCGGACAGACAATTTGAGTTGCACATGAATAAACCAATGAAAAAGCAAAAATGACTAGAAATTTTCTATGAAGCAAAAACTGCCAATATGTGTTATTTCGCAGAGCATTTTTACCCATGCAAACATGTTTGATTTTAGTCCTGTTTGTCTATTTGTTTTTAAGAGATTATACACACTGTATATTCATGGGCCCAGAGGAAGAATCCTACTGACATCTGGCTTTTCCTCTAGTGTCCCCATCCCTCTACACTCTATTGAGTCATAATAAGTAATCTAAACATGTTGAGGTGTAAACTAAGAACAATTTGACACCAAAGCTACAACACTGGTCACAACACAGCACAGATAACAAGGCACAGATACACATATAAAAGCAGAACAAAGAAACCAAGAGACCATAACAGAGGGAAGGTGAGAAACATAACAGGTTAGACATTAATGATTAATACTATCATGCCAGAACACTACAACAAAACAAAAGGTAAATTTCTTTAAAAATATTCATATCAACAAAAAACACAAAGAAAAATACTCTTTGTTATATTTGTTCATCAGGAATAAGTGACTGATACAATGAAATGGGTTAGAATGGAAAGAAACTCGAAAAAGTGGAAGTAATCACATCCAAATGGAGATGATTTCACATGGGAATGAATAGGGGGATGTAAATACTGTAGTTTCTAAACTGTTGAGCCATAATAAGTTATCTAAATTGATGTGGTAAGGGACTGCTACAAAACAAAATGATGTGGGACAAAAAAGGAATGCTAGGAAAGATGAGCAGGTATAGCTGACATAATGTTGGGGAAAGAAAGAAAGGTAACAAGTGAGTCCGCTTACAGCATCAGTATCAAGCCAAACCAGAATGAAAGAGTAAGGGTGATCATAACCTTTTACAAAAGCCCATACTGACAAAAATCGTCAATTCTTCCTATTCTTTTAGCCACAAAACCTTACAATACAATACAGTACATACAGTAAATAAACTGTTGGACTATATGAACACTGAGCAATGATTTGGCATTGTTTTTCAAAAAGTTGGAGATTAAGGCCTTCTGTGCTCATGTGTCAAGTAAACCTTTTATTTTCAAGGTTAAAATTTCTGGGCTAAATCTCACTGAGCCTGATGCAGCTTCATTACTGTGGCCCACAGGGATGGTTGGGGGAGCTATATTAATTAGAGCGAACTAAAGTGGAAGAGAGAAGGATGACGAATGAAAGGATGAAGCGACACAGGACAGTCGGGTCTGTGTACCTCTGCCAGGTCAGAAAAGAGGACTTGACTGGCGCTTCGTCTCAGAACGTCCCAGTAACTCCGCGCCACAAACTCCTGACTGTCTTTTTTTAGCACCTGTAGGAGCAGGGCCAAGGTCAGTTCACCTCTAAATCAACCACTTCAGGAAGTAAACTTCACTTTCCAATATTCACTCAGTTCTTATTATATACACATAAATACAAGTAATATTAAGATTTTTTTCATCTGTCTTATTTTATAGCATATACACAGCATATTCATGAACAATGTTACATATATAAGTTAAGAAATTCTGATAACATCTGGCACTTACTGATCTGCAAAATTTAGGGAAACCAGATTCTTTCTGCTAAGTCGGCAAGACAAAACAACTAGTGAACAATGACAAAACTGGCTCATACAACTGAGGAAAAATTTTAAAAAAGCTAAAATATTCTGTGCTCTGCCATCACAACAAGCTTCAGTACAAATATCCATTTGCAATGTAGGATTCAATAGTGAAATTACTCCATTCACTGTAGCATTTGCAATGTAGGATTCAATAGTGAATCATTCACTGTATCAAGCACCAAGCATGAAGTAAACATGCTAGCACCAAAAAGCACAGTGATGTTGGGACAAAGGGTCAGATTATACACAAAAAAGCCAGTTTTCTCTGCAAATGGATTCATAGGACTGACGAAGAAAAAGGCATTAATTAGAAAAAAGTAAGAGATTTAATGCTGTTCAGTGGTACTGCTCAGCATAGCACTTAGGATTATTGATGAGAGGATATATGCTGTAATGCAACTATATTTACAATCACTACAGCTACCACTCCATGACTTTGCATTTATGCTAAGTCAGCATTGAACACAAGCAAAGCAGAAATTTGAACAACATAATGGAGCTCTAAAGCTTACACCCTACAACAGGTTTTCCTCTTCAAACCTATGAGATTATACCATCTTGACATTTTGCCATCCCTGGCTTGACAAAAAAAGTTTAAAAAGTAGACAAACCATGGTGCTGAGCTCCTGGCCACCCACCTCGCCTTTCTCTCGAGGGAGAACGCAGCAGCAGCCATTTTAACATGACCCTGCGCTGCTCTTAACTTAACAGTGACAAAGCAGCTATCCATCACAGCACTGACAGGGCAGGGAGCGTCTGTGTGTGTGTGTGTGTGTGTGTGTGTGTCTGTCTGTGCGAAAGAGAAAGATCAAGAGAGAGAAGGAGGTCTCATAACCCAAATAGAGACTAGTGGCTGGTACAGTCTTGATTCTTTTGCTGCCCTGCACCCCATCTCCATTAGAAACTCTTTATTACTACTCAGTGTGGACAGGTTCCTTCAGTGGATTTCACCATGTTTTAATGAAAATTAATGATATATAACAACCTAAAATGATTATTTTCTGGTATTTGGAGGTCTGAAGATTTGAACTCTAACCCTCACCTTAGATTACTTCTAGCTTTATATGTGATTAACAGTCTGTATTTTTTTTTTCTTTAATTGAAATATAACAATTTAAACCTCAGAATAAATTCCCGTCTTTATAATGGAAATGTGATTTTCTGCCTGTATGCCTCAGTCAATAAAAATTTCCTGTTTGTTCTTTATATCAACACCCCCCCAAATAGGAACACACACACACATACACACACTGCCAAAGAAACAACACATGTTCTAAAACAGTCTAAAATGTAGTCTGATTGTGTTTACAGCTTTAGAGTGTCTCAAGTCATTCTTAATCACATCACTCTCTTTTTGTAACAGTTCATCTCTACTGACCCTTTAAATGCATTACTCCTCTTCTGCCATTTCTCTCTCCATTCATCCCACCCTGTGCCGTCGTCCCTTAATCAATCACTGATCAGCTGACCTGACAGATGGACGCCCTGTTTCAAGCCTTTCTCTGTCATGCTGTATCTTTCCATCCATTCATCCTTTCACAGAGCCTATGAGTGCATTTTACTAACAACAGTGGATCAGGTGTACTGAATCAGGGTTTAGGCGTCTTGAAAGACCAGGGTGGGACACATAAGTGGGTGACATACATTAGACTCCCCTATGTATCCCAATACAACTGACATTATACCTATGAAAACTAATCCCAGTTCCTGGAAAAGTCCAAATGAAATACTTTAAATTTGTAAAATCAGGGTAATGTTTACCTTCCAGATATCCAGTAGTGAAACAGGTGTTAGATTATGAGGTCCAGTAGAATTTGCCAGTGATATAAACCTATTATATGCCTAATAATCCCACACCTCCCTTCATCCATAGCTCTACCTCTAGTATTTCTCTACCATAGAACCCCAATTTGTCAGAGGCAATGATACAGTGATATGTCCTTTGTGCACATTATCAATAGTTCAACATTTTGCTGAAAGTTATATGAAAAGAAGAGCACCAGTGTCACATCCTAGCATTTAATATGGAGCTGGGAGACATCTGACTTAGCTTAGCACAAAGAAGGGTGCACTGGAAATACAAAGAACTAGTCCACTACATAACTGTCCAAAAACGACCATGTGATATTTTTGGATCTTGACGAAATGAACTGAAACTTAGAGGTGCTGGCAGACTGACCTTCCACGTCTTTCCAGTCTTTATGCTAAGGTAAGCTAACTGGCTGTAGTTTTATATGTGATGGACAGATGATGGACAGCAAGTGGTGTTTATAGTCCCACCTAACTCCTGGCAAGAAAGCAAATAAGAGTATTTTTTAAAATTTGAATTATTCCTACAATTACAGTATATTTCCCAGTATTATGAAACACACCAAGTAATAAATGTTCTGTCAACTAAGAATTTGTAACATAAAATCAAGAGTAGGCTATTTTTTCTAAAGATTCTAGGATTTTTAATCAATCATGCCTTTTTGTTTCAAGTAAAGCCATGTAACTTACAGTAAACCCAGCTGATGCAAACACCTAGTTGTATGTCCCTCTGTCCACCCCTCCATCCATTTATTTAACAGTTAAAGAAAAGCAGAAAAGGAGGTTATGGCTTAGGATACATACGCTGTTCATGGGGGCAACCTGATATCCATACAGCTGCATACTCTAACACACAGAAAGACATGAGGAAGAGAAAGAGGAGCATGCAGTCAGAGGAGGAGAGAAGGTAAAAGACATGTTAGTACATGCAAGGAAAGAGCCTGTGGATACACTCTGCAGAAGGATGTATCACCATCAACACCTCTGTGATTACACTTTAGGACAACACTGCACTGCACTTTTCAGAGATGAGTAAAGGGTCCATATGTTTTTATTTTATGACAGATAAATAATCCCTTAACTTAAACAAGAAATTATTTAAGAGGGAACTTAAATATCTCCTTCTTGCATAATATTTTTCATCAGTAATATTTTATATGTATTGAACAAATAATTTTTAACCAGCAGGTTATGAATCCATTTTTACAGTTAGCCATCAAACCAACATATATAATAATAATAATAAAACCCATAGCTAAAACATGTAGTGTAGTATAGCAGTGTGGCCAGTGTCAAACACAGATGTTTTGTCAAAGACATTTTTTTGAGAGTGTGTCCAACATAACGTTTGTACAGAACTGTCACCATAAAAACAGAAAGCACGTCATGAGAAATAGTTTCAGTAAGGCAGCATGCACTCTAAACAGTTACATGAGGGTTTAGCTAAGTGTAATATCTGTTTAAATACAGATGACAATAAACTTAGACAATGATGTGTCTGTTTCATAATATCCTCATGTACAGTCTGACACAACACTGAACTTGCACCATCAGCAGCATTAACAAGGTGACCCGTGAGGTGTTGTGCCACACCGCACTCATGGATGCATGAAAATGCCATTTTAAGAGGAAAGTAAATTTACACTAACTACTGCACTTTGTGCTGTTATTTCAACCTCAATAAAATCAGGATATTTTGGATCTTTGAAATTCAATTTTACCCCAATGATGATAGCAGCATTACTGAAGGTCATATCTGTGGTTGTTTCACCACTGGCACTTTTCTTTTGTTAGAAAAAGAACTGAATTTCACTCCAAACAATAGCATTCATGCTAACGCGCATTCTCACCCTGTGATATCAACTGTCTTACCAACTGTGCTGACTTCTCAGCGTCCCCTTTCCTTCCCTTTTTCTCATTTTTCTTCCTGAAGATCTCCTGAAGCTGTAAAGAGACAAAGAATCAGCCCCTCAGTGACAATTCAAAGCAAGCTCAAAACCTCTGAAGGAAGGTCTTGAAGGTTATATAAAAAGAGTTCACATTCATTTCATTTTTTTTTTTCATGTGATTTAAGTGCTCTTTTGACAACATGCATAAGAGTGTGTTGGTCTTCTAGTTTGGCTTTGGAAGTGACTTACATTCACTGATATTAAAAGATGAAATCAATACTGAATTGCATATGGCAGAAAACTGCGGCTGCACAGTAATCGCTATCAGTAAGTGGTCATTGACTGTACTGTGATTTCAGCATACTGGCATAGCACTTACATTTATACACATCATTTTTCACTATAGATTTCTTTTATTATTTTGAATTAATAATGAAAATTTCTATGTTTACATGTTGGTAAAGTCTACATCCAAGGCAGCAGATAAATCCGGGTCAGACCCTCAATGTGGGAATTCTTTTTTGGTGCCACACCTGCTCACTCCCACAGGACCTTCTACCTTCTGCTGATCACAATCCCACTCTGACCAGCCTCCACAGAGATTCTGATCACTTCCTGTCTGCAGCAATGTCTTTTGGATTGCACGTGTTTGTCCCATTCCACAGGGAAAATTAGACAAATGGAGCTCTTACAGTTTTTGAATCTAAAGAAATGCTGCCCAGTTGTTTAATAAGATGTGGAGTCAAAAATCACAATATTTGAAGACTTTAAACCTGAAAAAAATATCTTAAGTAACTGGGAATAAAATTAGATAGAGACACTGATTATGTCTCTGTTTCCACCATATTCCTCTCAGTTTTCATAGAAACATACATGAGATACATTAGAGTAGCAAATTATTATGTTTATAGGTCTAATTTGGACTAGAGAAAGGAGCTTAACATTTAAATTAACTTTATGTAACTGATGCAAAATAACCAATGATAACAGCCCTCCCTATTTCTATGGTAAATCTGAGCACTGATGGTGAGGATGGATTTTCTCTCAGTATCAGCGACTCACCACCAAGAACTCCCTCTTGTCCACCATCTGGTTACCGTCTGCATCAAACATATTGAAAGCAATCTTGAAGCCAGCATGGGGTTCTGGAGAATAGAGAAAAGAGCACATAAGGTGAGTGTGTGTGCATGTGTTCATTTGTTAAATGAAGTTGTATATCCAGAAATAACATGGGAAGACATAGCATGAAGATAACTCTACATATTGGAGGCTCAACTGTTAACATTTTGATCGTTCTATACCGCACTACCCCTTTCTTATCAGGCATTGCTATCTACAAAAAACACAGCTTACATCCTTATTTAAAAAAAATCCTGAACATAAATTTTTGAACCTTTTCTGGTCCTTCAACTTCAGTACTAAGAGCAAGACAGGATGAAATGTATTTAAAATTCATAAAAGTATTATTATTTAAATTTGTTTTAATGAATTTTTCTTCCATGTACTTGTCGGAAATTAAATCATTAATTTTCTTTATCTCTTCCCTGAATTTAAATGAACATTAAAACACCCTTGAAATTTTCTAGGAAATGTTTCTCCAATTTTCATTTCACTTATAACAGAATAAATCAGTTACCATATTTACAGTATTTACTGGGAGGATTTTTTTATATATATAACAGTGTATTGCTGTTCTCAAAAAGTAATAAAAAAAATACTTTTACTTTTACAACGGATGGAGCAGTTTTTGAGCAACAAGTCTCACATTCCTGCCTACATTTAAGTTTTGACAGGTTATAAGTCCAGCTGTTTTCTTCTTTGTCTCAGTATCTGTGTTAGCCCAAAGGAGAAAGCCACCAGATTTGTGAAATAATTTCATCGTGATAAGTTCTGGATGGGCTAGAGTGTAGTTCTTTTTTTTTTTATCTTAGCTAACTTTGTGTTTCCTAAAAAAAGGAATAACATCCTGCTAAGGGAAAGTGAGACGAAGATGAGATTAAAGCAACTGAAGTGACTCACTTGTCAGGATGCAGAGCAGGAACAGGTACTCTGTATATGAGATGATGCCTAGTAATGAGACCAAGACACAGTTAAAGAAAAGATCATGTTCAACACACTGTTTACAGATTTTCAAAGAAGGTGAGCCTTCTGACACACACACGCAGACATACATTAACACGCATGATCCTTTTTACAAAGATAGCATCTTAAAACCTGTCTTTTCAAAGCTGAGCTGCCAACAGCCATTTGGCCACACACTGTGTCTATTTCTACACCTTAAGTAAAGACACAGCCTGGATAAGCAAGTGAAAAATGTTTTAGGAGGTGATTCTTTCTTGCCTCAGGCCCATTTAGGAATCTTTGTAGCTCCATTTCATCTCTCTCTCCCTCTTTCTCCCTTTCTGTCTGATCGTTCAGATAGTTCAGGGTGACTCGCTTGAGTGTTACGGGAGACTGCTTTCTCGTGTTTGTGTGTGTATGTGTGTGCAGGTGAACATGACACCGGCCAGAAGCAGTGTGAACCTTGTGTTTTCCCGATGCTTCACTGTTTTGTGTAGAGGAGCTGGCTTGGAACTGACTTTTCTCTGTGTAGCAAGAGCTACACTCCGAAACTACTCAGGTTTCTAAAACACACTCTGCATGTTTACACTTATATACTTTCAGTGATATACTACAGAATAAAAATGCATGTTAACTTTGATGCCATGATGGAAACCACTATCAATATGAACAAAAATAATACAGTTGATTTAAAATTTTGATTCAAACATTTTTTTTCCATTCAGCTTTCATACAATGCTGTCCTTTATATAAGTCATGTAGATAAGCCATAGCGTGTGGACGTGTGTATAAATGTCTCTCCATGGTTGTGTGGACAAATTTTAACTCACATTTAGGTTAAGGGGATGTTATGGTTAGGGGCTAGGGAATGTATTATGTCAGTGATTTTCCTTTTAAACTATAAAAACATCAGTGCATTTCACTGATGTACGTGTGCGTAATTATCACAATGGAGACTCACTAACAGACAGTGATTCCTGTGTTACACACTTGTGAAGCCAATGCTTTATCTAGGGGGAGCTTCTCTCCCCCTTCTCTCTTCGGTGCTGTATAATTTGTTCTGTTTTCACATGCAGTGAGGAGAGGACAGGAGATGAAGTGAGGTTTATTTTTAGTTGTTTCAGCAGGTTGTTTGGCTGTAAGAGGGGCCAGTATGGCTACAACCCGGATTAGAGACACCTGCAGTGACACGCACACACTTAAGCTCAAACACACTATTTAGTCACACATCAGGAGGTAAGCCCCGGTAAACCAGCAAATGTACTGAAAAGTTGACAAACATGTAGCAAAATTTATACACTATGTATAAGTCACAGTGAAATATATGAATGATATATTTATAAAACAATTTGAACTGTAATGGTTAAAAAAAAGCTCCAGATCCTAATTCACTCACATTCACTGACCTTGTTATTATCTGTCTTCTACTTATTTACTCTGATAACGATTAAAACTGCATTTAGGCTCTAAGTGTGTGTGTATTAGTAAGTGTGCATGCAGGTGCACAAGGTGCCTTTGCTCCTGTTTTTCATGTGTGTGTGCGTATGTGTGTGTGTGTGTGTATACGCTCTCTTAGACCTCTGTCTCTCAAGTTGCGGAACAGTTTGGAGGATCCTCGCCATACTGGGGGAGTTCCTGACAGGATCTTCTCCAACTCCTGATACATGCACAAAACACACAGTTTATAAGTAAGATAGAGGGTAAAACAAACACAGCTCACCTTTAAAATGTAACCATTACATATACAGAACGGAGAGAGGAACAGAAGGTGGAACGCTGTGGACAAGAGGGAAAACGCTGACTACAAACTATCCATCTCTACAAGTTATTTGTTATTGTACCTAAAAATGTTTGAGAAATTGAATGAAAAACTGTATTGCAATCATTTTTGTCTATTTTCATTTGTTTCAAGGAATTTGTGGAAACAAGTAAAGTGTATTGAAAAGATAAATGAGAATTGCCATTAAGATTTAGTTTTTAACACAAAAGAAATGACAAAGATGAGGCAGATAAAGCACAAAGAGCTACAAGGAATGTCCACTTCATTTCTTAGAACACATGCACTGTACATGGCCAAGGAGTGTAAAATTGTATTACAGAAGGTACAGGTACCTCATGGAGCAGCGTTTGATTAGTTGATTAAGGCTTTTCTGGCATTTCATGTTCTACTAGCACAAGCTTTCAAGTGAGATTTTTATTCCATGAGGAGCATGATGTTGTCTGTATAAACACGTTACTACACATACAGTATTTGTATATGGTACATGGTTTATTTTATTTGCCACATTATGCAATATGTTATTTCATTTCATACAACAGTCTGTAATGTAACTTTGTAAAAAATCACCTGTGATGATATAGTTTTCAGGCCTGGCACAGCACGCAGTGTTACATGCAACTATCCAATCATATTGCTTGTTTTATTTCACTGTATACTGACTAAATGATCTACATGCAATAGTTCTAAATGTAGGATGTTACATTTACATGTGACAACTACTCAACAATCCTAGAAAAATGAGGATTTAAACAGCAGAAGAGACAAGAATTTAGAGTGTGACTCCCACCTGTTTGGTCAGGGATCTCCAGGGCCTCTTGTCTGCCAGGGAACAAGACAAAAGACAAGAGAAGAAGAAAGGAAAGAGAGTTTGGGTGGGCTTGGTCAGATAGTATCTGTATGATCTAGAAATGGGTCTTAATGTGCCGGGTACAGTCACAACACACAGACCAGCACACACAGACACACTCACTGTATATACACTGTCATCATCGCAGGCCCATTTGTAGCATCTAAAGTGCCCTGTGCTTGTCTTTGTAGTATGTGGAATGTCCCCATAAAATCACGCACTACTTTCGTTCTGTTTTATACAACAAACTTCATCTAATTCAACTTCAAAGGGCGCATTAGAGGACGTTGGCTGCTGAGAGGGTATGTGTAGCTGTATCGTATGTCAGTGAGCTAGAGTTGATGTAAACACACGCATGCAGGTGCATAGTTTGCATGCAACACAATCACATGCCTGCTGCAGAAAGGAATGGTAGCTTTTCTGGATGGGTGTATGTGATACTGTCAACTCATCTAAACCAGTTGGCTTAAAGGAAAAATGTAAGCTGAATGACTAGTTACATATTTACTGGTTAAGAGAAAGGGTGTGACCAGATTGAATGTTGTCAAGATAAGTGTGAGTCTACAGTATGTGTATCCCTGTGTGTGTCTGACTAACATTAACTGCAGACTAAACAATAGCTGTAAAGCCATCTGTTCTGAGGCAGCCTCGCCAGAACTAATCTGTTACGACTGGCAGCGGGCTCACAAAAACAGCAAAGCCATGTTTAAATCCAGATTTTCAAGTGTTTAAAAACCTGGTTTCAGTCAAAAAAGGTCTTTTAAACACCTGGCACTGACATATATATATATAGGGCAATGAAATTTAGATCAGAGATGGAGAACAGCAAACTAAAAAACATTAAATTTAGTTGGTCATCAAAGGCACACAGTGACACATTTACAAGAAAATGTCAAACATGGAAACTACAGAAATCCAGGAAGAATCTTGAACACAAGCATAAAAGTTGATCCATGAGTCTGTGATACGTACGTCTTGGTTCGCTCATGGTGACAGACTCAATAAAGTTTTGTGGAGTCATGTACAGCTGCCCTTCATATTCCACTGAACTGAACATACGGAAGCGTTGCTCATGGGATGACATGTGCACCTGTCCATCGTCAAAGTCGAACGACTGTGCCTGCAGACACAAAAACAAAATACAAAACAAAATTCAATGTCACTGATTTTGTGGCTTACTTGATTAGCCACATTGATGTTTTTTGCTTTACTTCCTAACACAATATTTTCAGATAGATATTAGATAACAAAACATAAAAGAGGAACTCAGCAGATTCAACCAGCTCACAGTTCATTTCAATACACGACACAAAACCTTTATGTTTCAATACAATAACACAGTGAGAATGAAAACTAATGTTATTTGTTCTTCCAAGGTATGTAATTTTACAAAAACAGCTTTAAAACATTGTTTCTTATTCAGACATTTCTCTTTTTCTGTATTAGTGGCTAATGTGACTTACCCTAGTGAACATCAGGACCAACAACAGGTTGATCACAAAAACAGATCTGGCCTGCTCTTGTTAACATAAATACATTACAGTGGAGTTTTGACTTATGATACATATTGTCACATTTTGAATCATGATATATTATTCCATGATGCATTGTTACAAACCCAGCAATCAGTGAAAGTCACTGCAATAATATTATTCTTACTATTGCAAGATTATTACATTACTGACATTGAGAAGATCACATTCTGTGGTATGAAAAGTGTAGGATAAGCATAGATATGTATAAAATGCATTAATTTATAATATTTAAACATTATAGTTGACTTTAACATCAAAAAACCCACACAAACCGATCAAAGTCGGAATGTGACACTTTGTCTCAGGAGAAAACTGAGCCACTCATGCAGACAGTAGAATGTAAAGTCTATGCACTTCTTTGCTCCTTTTAACCTGGCATAATGAGGAGATCATCTATTCTTGGCATCAACACTCTCCATTTGGCTTTCTTAGCTTATAAATAGATTAAGCACCTCTGGAGCAGTGCAATAAACAAAGAACTGGGACACGCATAAACACACACACACACAAAATTACTTTGTCACCACTTTCTACTTGATTAGCATCTCTGTCTCTGTGTGAGGAGCTAGGGCTTCAGATTGATTAGCTAAAGTGTAGAGGAGCTGCTATGCCAACAGTTTGTGCGGCATGAAGCTGTGTAATTAGCTGAGAGGTTTCCAAATTTAAACCTGCTCGGCCGCAGGGCCCAGCACACCGAGGTTCCTGCTCTGCTCAGCTAACATGCTAATGAGCACACAGATTCATTCATAAAGCTTTGATGCTGCTTTCACCAAGGGAGCTTTCGAGGGCATGAATAAGAGATGAGCACTCAGCTTCACAGGAATGCACTGTAATCAAATGTAAAAGCATAGATGCCTGTGGCTCTGACTCTCACTAATGAAGGAAGTTTAGAAAGTTGTGCAAAGGCATCTAGGTTCACATGCCATGCTGCACAACATGTTGTCGAAGGTAATATTAGCTAAAATAATTGGCAGTTATTCAAAAATTACAGTGCAGTGCACTGTGTTTTTATGTATTTATAATGTCATGTAGCCAAAACTAATCCTGTTCATGTTGCCTAGTCTTGTTACGCTGACTGCACAGCAGATGCTCCAGGTGTTTTCCTCTCTGGCAACTGACTGTTCTCCATTGACATCTGCACCCCTTTGGTCCATCTCCTGTGTTTTCTCAGAGGTAAACTGTTCTAAACCTAACCCTGCTGTGTTCCTTCCTGACATCAAGTTTAGCTTTTTCAGTTCTCTCAAACTGCAAGACAATCAAACCGGCAAAGGCCACAGCAGATATCAACCAGCTCTTGAATCTGAGGTGTCAGAGTTTGCCAACAGTGTTCATCAGCTAGGCATACAGTTGCAAATAAGAAGTACCAGTTCCTCCGTTGTGATTTAACAGCTCTTGTGCTAAACCAGGGACATTCTAGGCAGGCTCTTAGAGGGGAACTCCAGCATCAGAGTCTGTTTACAGGTGTTACTGCTTATGTGAAAAAAGTTATGTAAAGACCTTTCTGATTTGGATACATTTGCTCAAGTGAGGCACACATTCTTCTTTGAGGTATCAGCCAGCCTAAGTTAAGTGTGGTCCTGTCCATCTCATGTTTCCGGCAGGCAGGCTGAAGTATTTTACTTGAATAATTTCATGTTATGCAACTTTATACTTCTACACCACAATACTTCAGATGGAAGTATTGTACTTTAAATCCACTACTTTTCAGATTAGGATTAAACAGAAAATATAAATAACAAATAAATTACAATGTATTATAGATCATGATACACAGGAATGCTATGTATTAAGTAGTTAAAATTAAGTAGTTAAAATCCCACCACCACCTGTACCATTTAAGTGATAATTATACATTAATGGATGAAAAATTTATTTCAGAAATGGTAAAATATAGTACTGTGCAAAAGTTTTAGGCACCTCAGAAGTTTAGATTCTGATTCATCACATAACACCAGGAATGTGTCTGGTTGGTCTTGAATTTTAATACCACAGCCAGTAATACAGAACTATCTACAGCAACAAGAAGAACAAGAAGTCCTCCATCAGATGGTACAAAGAGCCCTAATCTCAACAACATGGAGTCAGGGTGGGCTAAGTTGAATGTTGAATGCATGAACTTTATTTGTCACAGAGTATTTCGACACTGCAGACATTACTGGCTTTGTCTGTCTGTGAGCACTCCCTGCACACAGCTGGTGCCTGAGTGACAGTAACGTCCACGGCGTTTGGTCATTTCAGCACCGGCTCGAGCGGAAAGCGCCATTCCTACATCTGCGCGCGCACGTCGTGCTGCAGCCAAACAGTGAGCGAAACATTTCCACTGGGTGTGCAGGGAGTGAATGACACAGACTATCCACCCGAGAGGAAAATGTATGGCTAGTTAACATGCCGGCCACACCTTGGCTAGAGTGCAGCAGTAGGCCCGTCTAACCGGTCAGGGAAAGGTGAAGATACTCAATGCCCTCTGTCTTTTTTTCTCGGTGGGTCTGACTTTTTTCACTCCAGTCCTCCACACCGAGGCCCATATGTCAACACTGAGGGCAACACATTTTTCTTAAAAGAACCACCCAGTTGCTACGTGTCACTACAACCCTACAGTTTTCAGGTTCGTTACCCATGGGAGAGCCAGTTTCAGTCAGCCTCGTACCTTCTCCTTAGCTTTAACGGTCGGGATGGATGGCAGTAATGTCAAATCGTTGATGCTGTGCCTCTCCATCCTCTTCCTGCCACCACCGCTCGTTGTATCGCTGTAGAAGTAAAGTGCCACGGCGCCTCCCGTTGCAAGACATGTTCCGACTGCCAGACACCTACGTTCTCTTCTTCTACCAGCCGTCTGACCACCGTGGAGTTCGTTTCTCGCCG